TTACTACTAGCGTGGCACTTGTTACTACTAGCGTGGCACTTGTTACTATTAGCGTGGCACTTGTTACTACTCATTTTTTCTGTGTAGTGCTTCAACGTCTCCTCATGCAATGAGTTCATTGTAGTTGCAGGAGAAGGGTGCGCAGAAAGTCGCCGATCTTAAAGGACAGTTCATGAGTACAAGATCTCCTGATGTCATGATGTGGAGCTCTGACTAAATTGTGTGGTGTAATTAATGTATATAGCAGGATTTTCATCACATGGCGTTTCTTTTTTAGCAGAACCGCCGTCCTTCTCGAAGTTGCAACGATAATCGGAGGAGACGTTAGAAGGGACTTCCGCGAAATTGAAGAAACATCCTGACACGTAGTAAAACAGAGAATGCTCAGATTTGAACAGACGGCTGCTCGGACTGCTCCTCTGCGCTCTGTTCGGGCTGTTTGAGAGCAGCGACGGGACGGTTTGCGCAAGCTTTGCAGGCTGCAATGCAGCCTTTCATACAGATTTGATGAAACCAGCAGAGGCCAGGTGCGGTTTGGCCTATCGTTCTCTCGTATCCCAAAACTCCTAGTGACACACCAGCAACCTCAAACCCCATCGTTTCTTTGATGATCAACTGTGCTTTGGACATCTGCACCATTTCTAGGGAAAGCAACTGTGCCTATATATAATATACATTAATATACATATATATAGATTTGTCTTCTTTTTTTGGACAATTCTTCAAGTCAAAGCACCCTTGTGCATGTATTTGGAACACTGTACTTCAGTACCCAAACACAGACTTTGCACCTTTCTCATCCTTTCTCTCCCTCCTCGAGGCGGACTTCCGGGAGCATTTGCTGGGCATGGTGCGTAGTGACGCGCTCCTTGACAATCAAAACTCTCGGACGCCAATGACGTTGTGACTGAAAGGACTTGAGTACAGGGGCCGTTTCCACGGCATCTCCTTCTCGTGAAAGACTCAAGTGGATGGAAGCAACAAGGATGCTTCAAGATGTACCTGTTCGCTACTGGAGCAAAGGGCATCGCTACTAGTAACAAGTGCCTTACTAGAAGTAACGAAAAGCTATTAGCAACAATAATTAGAATCTAATTAAAGTTAGCAAAGATGAACGCCCAGGCTCCGTTCACCAGAGATCACGGTGTACTCCTCCCAGTGCAGTGCTTAGTGCGGAATTGGATTCCGGATGTGTTGAGGCACAGATGATGTGTTGCTTGGGAAGGGCATAGACCGTTGACACGTCACGTCTTTGCATTTTAACACGACCGCGTGAGAGCTTTTGGGCACTTTGTTCTCAGACACATTTAGGGAAGAAACTTGGCCAGCTTGGTTGTAACATGTGCACCTCGGCAAGCTGCAGCATGCGAGAAGAATTCTTCACGAAGGTAGTGGGAGTTTGCATGCTTGATCCTTACTTATGCACGGTGGTTTACGCATTTACGGTGGTTATCCAAGACCCCAAAGAAAGCCAAGGAATGTAGAAGATAGATACCGCATATGGTAAGCTTGTTGAATCATTTAAAAGATGCGACCGTGACAGTTTCTTCGTGAGTACTACATGGACAGATTTCTCTAGGAATGTCCTCTCCAAACCTCAGTAGGAACAAGAAGCTACGGGCTGGAGGCCATCGCTATTAGGTTGGAGGCCATCGCTACTCGTAACAAGAAGCTACTAGTAGCAAGGATGCTCAATTAGACTCTCGAAATTTCCACGCCTCGCTTGAGTTCCCACTTGTGAGGACAGGCGAACGATGGCTGCCTGGGACACCTCCCAGCAGCCTGGTGGAGGGGCTTGTGCAGGGCCTGGGGGCCAAGCGGGGGAGTTGCGATGACACCCTTGTTACTAGTAGTGATGCCAGGAGCCCCCAGTAGCTTCTTGTTACTAGTTGCGATGGCCTTCAACCTAATAGCGATGGCCTCCACCCTAGTAGCTTCAAGTCTAAGTTGGAGGTGATTCAGGTGGTGGGAAATGGGCCACGCTGAGAACCGAGTTGAAATGCACGTTGGGGACTTTGTAGGTCTCTATCCCTCAAGACCAACTCGCTTGAAATACTTTGTTTTGTTTCCCAGATTATTCTGCCTGTGAGAGGCTTGAGCTGCCCCAACCAATGGGAGGCGTGGGCGCAGCCTCATGTGCTTTGCTGCTGTTTTCATCTTTAGAAAGCTGCAGCCATGTACTCTTCGAAACCAATTCTTGAAATCTGCCGCAATGGGGTAGAGACCCAGACACCGTGACATCCTCGAGCTGGCTTTAGGGTAGCAGGAGCTTGTCGTGTGTCACTTGAGCCGTGGACAGGACACGTGTCGTGCCATCATCGATGATGGCGTCGAGTTCTTTTGGGAGATCGGTCCCATGAAGCAGTCGGAGCCCGAGAGACAGGGCTTGAGACCCGAGAGACTCGGAAGACGAGAGGCTGACTCCACACTATTGCATGAAGACGTCCAACTGTCGTCGTGGTTTTGATGCGAGCACGTTGAACACTCCATCCTTTGTTGGACGTTCAAAGTAATTACTTCCCCAGCCAGTGGGATTTGGACAGATGTCACTGGCAGAGGCCCCCGACCTGGTGCTTCCGTGACAAACATACATGTCTGGCAACCGTCGCTCTACCGGACTACCGTAGTGACTCCTGACTGCTCTGTTGCTTGCACGCCCATGTCCATGCCCACCTGCATGATAGCGGGACAGTGCTCATCCTTTCGGCATCTTGTGATCTCCAGCAGCTTGGAGGCCATCGCTACTAGGGTGGAGGCCATCGCTAGTAGGTTGGAGGCCATCGTAGGTAGGTTCCTTTTGCTATTAGGTTGAAGGATAGACTCCCAAGACTTTGTCTCGCCAAATCACTGGAGTGTGGACACCCAAAGGGCGGCCATTTCATCGAAGCACCTTCTCGACAGGTTAAAGGCCATGATGCCCAGAGCTCAGTGCCACACAACCAACCTCAAAAAGACGTTTATGGGCAGTGCAGGGTCTGTATGTTTGGGGACGGAAGACCTTGAGCAAATGCCAGATTTGGGTGGTCACATCCAGTTTGTATTGGCTTGGGGTATCTGACTGCGCTGATCATTGCACAACACATTTTCCTGAACATTCTTTGAGAGATTGATGGATGTCACCAGGGGACAAAGTCACAGCTTTTTGCTTTGGTGTGTTTGCTGAGGAAGCATATCGACTACAACCAGTGGAAACACATGAAATGCATTGACTGCTGATACCATTGAGACGGGGCAGAGCAGCGCTTGACCGAGTGATCTCTGCTGTCCTCCCCATGACAGCTGTCCTCCTCATAGTTTTGATCTAAGTGCCCGCCGCATGCTGTTGGGTTTCAGCATGTCCTCGGCGATTTTGGAACTCTTCCATTCTTGACGGGTTAAGCAAGTGCAGAATCGCAAAGAAAGGGTGCGAACGCGAATGGCAGCATACTCACTTCTGATAAAAATAGAGGGCACCTGAACTGAGCACTTGGCATGAGCCCTCCTAGGTTTGCAAACATATCCTTTCATTGCTGGAATGAGTGTTATTTTGAAAGCGTGTTCCGTTTTGCATAGCAAATCATGCGTTTGCTCAGCTGGACGATCCTTCCTTCACAAGAGGTGCCCATCTGACTGGCATTCACCGCTGCAGTTTGGGCTGATGGTTGAGGCTGTCACTATCTCAAGCAGGTATGCAGAACTTTGGTTGGCCCGCAACGCCAAGTGGCACTTTCCTGATGCCGCTGCAACCGCAAAGGTGTACCCTACGCTTGCCTTCAAGAACTAGCACTATCAATGCCACGATGAAGTTAAAAGGAACGAAACTTGATTCAGCTGAAAGCAGCGAACATCGAGGTGTTCATTGCGGCTTTCACCTCGCGCAAAACCCCAGCTGGACACCGAAAAAGATTTTTGATACCCCTCCCGTGCATTTTCTTGATGTCAAGAAGCACCCCGTCGGCCCAAGAGGTGCAGTCACAATAGTTATTCAATAGCTACCATGGCGTCGCCTATGGCTACCGTGCAAGCCCGGGTGCCCTTAAAGGCGCAAGCTAAGCCGAAGCACATGGAACAAAAGTTGATCGACTTGTTGAAGAGTTGAGTGGTTTTGTTGAGCGTTGTTCTGGTTTTGCTTTGTTTTAGGATTGCCAGCGGCTTTCTCAGCGTCGGTTTTCGCGGTGAATTAGACCCGCGGTGGACAATGTCACGCAACCTCTAAAAATTGGTCAGCGTGCCTTTTGATTACAAGCATGGATTGTATCACTTTCATTCTTCGCAGGCTGGGCACGTCTATGTGCAAGGCTCCTCCTTCGAGGCAAGGGTATAGTTGAAGTGGATCAGGAAACCTTAAGATCACTATCTTCCAAGGCTCCACAACTATTTTGTCAATTTTTGTTCATGTCTTGTTCTGTTTTCTCAAAGTCATCCGAAAAAAGAAGCGAAAGTTGAAGATCCTAGGTCAAGGGCGCTGGCGAATGGTACGTGAATGGCGTCTACACTCGCACGCCGCAACGGGCCTTGATGGCACGAATTGGGTTGCGCATGGTGAAGCTGTTTGTCACATTCTTTTTGTTGCTGTTCTGACCAAAGTGATTTGCACAGAGTTACTAGGTTGGAGGCCATCGCTATTAGGCTGGAGGCCATCGTTAGTAGGTTGGAAGCCATCGCTATTAGGTTGGAGGCCATCGTTAGTAGGTTGGAGGCCATCCCTCTTGGGTGGGAGGCCATCGCTAGTAGAAACAAAGAAAAGAGCAAAGGAACAGGTCCAATATAGGTTTCTATAGGGATGAAGCCAATCACCTCTTCGGATGCCAGGTGAACCGAGCGGACGTGTTTCAGAAAGCCGGCTCGTCAGATCCCTAGACATCGACGGGTTTGCCGGAGGAGAGACTTCT